AGTCCTGGGTTCTGTGTGGATTGTTTTGCCGATATGAACGGGTTCATAATGGAGTTGTGGAGAAGGGGCAGGGTTTGAGGGAGCGAGGCAGGACGGGGGAGCGAGACAGTCCGTGTGTGAGGCAACTTTATATCTTGGTTTCACTTTCTATTAACAGAGATGGATCATCACCGGGCTAAACCTCAATTTGTTAAATGGCGATAGTGAGCCCCAATCAATCCACTAAAATGTTGTGATTGGTTTCATTTTTAGGAACAATGGATGTGGGGACAAGGAGGACAGTGATGGAGATTGATGTCAGTGAACTAATGGACTGTCCGTCTAAGCACTCATCATAGACAAACTCTGTAATCAGGCCGCAGACGCTGGTTAGAAGCGAGGTAGCCGTTGCATATTGAATTTCTGACAGAGTGTGTCTTGGCAAAACGCCTCATTTCCCAAAGCCTCCGACTGCCGTGATCCGCATTTTAATTGTTACTGCATTCAAATCCAGATCTGCAGCACAAAAGCTCCCTAAATGAAATGTTATGACCTTGATGATGCCCCTATTTTTTTGTCTCATCTCTTTTCATTCTAAGCGTATTGTCTCATTCTCTGTTTTCCAACTTCTTCTGCTTTTAACTTACTCAGCAGAACTACACTTCCCTTTGCATCACGCGTTGAGCCTGATTAACACAGTGGTGTGGAACTGTTCTAACAGTTGACCTCAGGATGGCAACAGTGGAGCGTACAATATACATTATTACCGAGATTACACTCAAACGCGTAACTATTTAGTTTAATCATATACGTTTTTGTAAAACGGTTTCCGTTTCGTTTGACTGAAAAAGAAAATGGAAATGCATTGCATACATTATATGTGAAATGTCTCTGATACTACTGCTACTGCTAATGTTTCCCATTCTTCAGGAAAGCATAACCAAGAAGGTTAAAAGTGCTATATTGAAAAAGCTAAATTGAAAAGCTGCTTCTGAAACATTAACATGAAATTGCAGACTTACTTTCCTGGCTTTTAAACTTGTTCTTTCTACTTTTCTTTTCATTTGACACTTTCATCATGTGCTCACTTCAGGCAACCGACTTCAATCGACACTGCGACCTGCAAATCTAATTTGAATTTGTTTTACACAACCTGGATACCCCACAATTGAAGTAATTTTAATGAAATGTGCACTACGAAGGGGAGGAGGACAGCTATAATTCATGTTAATGCAAATCGGACATGACGCAGAGTGAACCGCATGACTTAGACATTGGAAGAATTAAATAGCTCAATTAAAATGACTATCCCAGCAAAAAGTGCGTATGAATTTGTGTGTTTTTTAAGGATTCAAACATCAGACGTCATCATGGCCGACCATCCGAACACCGCCAATGTTTAATTCAGATAGTAGAGTGAGAGAAATAATCTTTGTGCAAAAGTGACATCGCGGGGAAGACGTTTTTGTGGTGAGAACAGAGACGTGTGTGTGTGTGTGTGTGTGTGTGTGTGTGTGTGTGTGTGTGTGTGTGTGTGTCACGTTGCCATGGGGATCACAGCTGAGCTCTCTGGGTCTCCTGTCAGGTAATGGAATCGTCTCGGGCACAAACACGAGGCGAGTGTGTCCCGAATGCAAAACCACTCGTGTCCTCAGTGTCCAGCCGTCACACTGACGGCGGCTGGCCACCATCTACAAGCTGACAGAGCAGATCAGAGCAGACCCCCCCTCACCGCCCCCCCCCGATGTCCCGGAGACGGCCTGAACGTGGCATTTTGTTTCATGTTCTTGATAGTGTGGAACAAATGTGGTATTTGCGTTAGCATTGACGTTCTTAATGTGGCTGATGACAATTACGACTGCTGAGTTGTCGCTGGACGTTCAGCCGTGTGACTCTATTGGCATTTCATCACTAAACACTAGCAACTACTACTAGCAACCTACTTCTTACCTTTGAAGTTAGACACCATAACAGCCAGGCCAGAGAAACACGCCATTACTGTTTTGACCCAGTTTTTCTAATGTTTCATGAAATGCAGCAGCACAGAATTATTTCCTGCATGAAGCTTATTGCCTCACACGCTATCAAACCAATAGATTTATTTTGTATTTTGTCCTTTGTCAGATTATAGAATAGATTGACTGTGCCGGTGGTTTTTAGGTGCAAAAGTGTGCCATGCCCTCATTTAGTTGCTGGTTGTTCACACTTCTATGGCCGTCATCAAGGTGTCGGCAACAGTAAAGCACGTGCACATCGGCACGCGCGCACAGCGTCCATCACTTTCTAGCCGTGCAGCTGTCCGTGCTCTTAATCACTCTCACTTGGGGTGGAGACGGGTGACTTTAATCTCAGTGTTAAGTCACACTGACCTTTCATATCTCTGATGCTGCCCTCTGCATGACCTTTTATGTGGCGTGCAGGGTGTGTCCCTCAGTCGGTAGCTGTTTCTGTTCAGTATGAGCAAGAGTGGGTCACACCAGGACTACAGCTTGATGGGATTTGGCCTTTAAACTCTGTTTGCAGTGTTAATTATCCCGGTCTCCTGTTTTTAATTCACATGATATGAAGCTCAGAAAACAGTAAACACTACTATTTAAAAAGCTTTTACGCGGATTAATTAGTTGGCAAAATCGTTGTGCTTTGCGGTGTATTGACCCGTCTGAATTAAATTTGTTTTCACCCCCCAAAAAATTAACAATTTCAATCGATTTTATTTTTCTGACTTTTGACTGCTGGGTGTTTGCACAACACGGCATACATATGGATGAAAAGAGTCTCGCTGAGCAACACGGTAGCTGAGATGTGCGGGTGTGACAATGACAATGTGACACACAGCTTGAGGAGCAGGAGAAGCTCGGGAAGAATGAATCTCCCTGTTCCTGTGACAACTCGTGGTGACAACAACTCCATGACCAATGGCGCCGTTTACCTTCCCGCCGCCGAGATGAACAAAGCGTGCGTTTTGTCGGGATGCTGTTGTTGATTGACTCTGACACGAAGCTGGTAGAGTGGTGAGCACTGATAAGGAGACAAACACAGCCGGGGAAGATGGAGACGCCATTGAGTCCGACACTCCTCGCCTGCAGACACAGCTTCTCCTTTATATTCCTGTATTTGCGGCCCACAGTCGCACGAACGCAAAGCGATCAACAAGCCAAAGTGTTAAAAGTGGTGCTGGGCACCTTAACACGACATCATCACGTTATTATTTTGTCATTATTCCTTAATTAAGGTATTTCGCCTACTCTCTGAATAGACACACGGACACATCGTGGGTCACAGTAAGGGTGCGACGTCACCGTGCTTCTCGACCAATGAGAGCCATTGGAGGCGGGTTTGAGACGGCTCCTCAGGCCCCCATGAACCGCTCACATCACCACGCGCCCGAGGAGGAGTTGAGGCATCGACTCGCAGGGTGCTAACTGAAAATGCCGGCGTCTGACAGCTTCACGTCTGCCTGTATTTTTACCCAGTAAGAGCAGAACAGATGTCAGCAATTCCCATTAAACTGCTTCACTGGGGGGCTCTGACTCTGGTCATGCCAGTTATACAACTGCAGAATTGTTTTTGAATTGAATTGAATCGAATTGCTTGAATTCATTTCAATAAAATCCTACTTACTTACTTCTCCCCGAGTCCACTTCTGGGTCAGCTGCATACTCACACTGCAGAAGCCCCAGCGTCCAATGACGTCTGCAGAAATGATTTTCAGAAAATGTGCCGTGTTGATACTGCCGAGGCAAAGGAAGATCACTGAGAGGCCGTGGGTTCAAAATGGCATTCTCTCAATTAGCCCTGGACATGGCAGCGATGGCTGGATTATTTTTACCCAATAAATCCGCTACCAGAATACAGAGACATTCACGCTCAAGCCAATCCTTGTATTTCAAGACGTTTGACGCTTTGAAAGCCTTTGAGCAAAGTATTGATTTTTTCTGGTTTGGATTCCTGTTTTTGTTCATGCTGCGCTCTGATGACGCCAGTACTTGAGCGGTCAACATATTCAATCGTGATGTGCTGTCATTTCAAGTGGGACCGCCTGGGTTATCTCTGCCAGTTTGCTTTTGCTTGACATCAATAGCTCCATGTGTGTTGCTCTCCATTAGCTTGACTTCCATTTGTCAGGCTCGGGTAACATCAGATCGAAATGTGCTTTTTTTTTGCCCGTTAGAAGCATGAAGATAGACACGGTGAACCATTCCCATCAATTACATTATTCTAAAAACACAAAACCCTAAATCACATTTCACAGTCGTGGAATTTATGCTCTGTACAGTTTTTACAAATCAAAAATATAACACAAGTAAAAAGAAGAAAAACTAACCACAAATCCAATCTTTTCTAAAGATATCAGGTCCATGCAGTGCCCCAATCTAGGAAGGGCAATTTCATCTATTCAGCTGCACACACACACACACACACAGATGGGCATCTCATTCGGAATGGACTATTTCCCCAGTGCTGCAAAGCTCCATTACTGACTGAGCGGGCACCTCGATTATTCCGTCTAACACAGTGGCAAAGCGCGGCACCTCTCGCCGAAGCTCCTAATGGGCCACTTATTATCACGCAGTCTCCGTACAGCCGTCCGACGGGCCCGCGGAGAATACGGCTGTGCTCTGTCGCTCTAAATGACCGTAAAGGCCTTCTTCTTCTTAATTAATCAGCAGTTAAGAGAAAGAACACAACGCAGCCCTTCACAGATCTTGTTTTTATTCATGTTTGCATGTGCGTGGATATACATACTGTTACAAATAACATATGCAGCCTCTATTGGATCGTTCCTTAAACTCACTGGTCAAGCGTTGAACCACGCCATGGAGATTATTCATCTCCATATGGTCTGTCACGTTGGCTCGAGCAGTTGACCACAGGACCAGGGCTCCGTGACTCAGCCCCCCCCCCCCACCCCCCCCCGAGTGTGTGCATATGGCCTCCTTGGCTCCATTGGACTCGGATGACACATTAACCACCGATGCCATGCCAGGTAAATCCCACCCAGACGCGTTCTCACTGAGGTCTGTGATTGCATGGAAACTGTGTTTGTTTTTTCGAGCAGTTTTGGCTCACGCAGCTTCTGTCATGTTTTCGTTTATTTGCCTCGGGCGTCGCCCCCCCAGCAGGTCTTTGGGATCGGTGTGAAGCGGCGTATGACGGAAACGCACTGTAGGAGACGGTAAAGTAAGCATCTGGGTTTCAGGTCACTCTGCTTTTTGCTATAGAGAAAGAATTTCACAACATGAACACAATCACCGATGCTATTCTCAGCATTTGAGAACTTTCATTATTTACCCCGCCTGAACAAAATTCCTCCGCTGGCTTTGAAGTCGATCCCCAACCTGAATCATGCTGCACCTGACTTTAATGGAATGTATTGTGTAACTCAATGAGTCAGCCGGGTTCTAAGAATACACATTTTCCATCAACGACGGGGGAGAAATAGTGTTGTCGCCGTGTCATTTATGTGACGTCCAGTTTCTGTGATGTGATTGGATTACATGCATGTTTAATGTCGACTTTAACATTATTTAATGTTTAATTAAACCTGCTGCAGACATCCACAGTCAAAGTAGCACAGTTATCCACAAAAAGCTGCACGCGCTGTGCGATGAAGCCTTGAGCTGTTTTCCTCGTGTCCTCGGTCCTTGTTTCCCGTCTTTTTCATTCCAAACAGCCAGTGTTGATTGTGATGATAAAAAGTGACAGGACCCGTCGGTGCCCTTTGCTCCACCTCGCCGTACTTTCTGTGGCTGCCTGTGGAGGAGACGAGGAGGCTTCAGCAGAGGCAATCGGCGAGCCCATGACGACAAGTGCTGTCTCTGGCACTGCTAAAGCTTATGCTGTAACGCTTCTAATTCAGCTAATTAGTGTAAACCTCAATAAGCAACAGCCAATTAACTCATGATCAAGATCAATGGAGCCAATGGGTTGTCAGTATGAGAAGCGCTTGACCTTTCAGTTTAGAGTTTGGGAGGGATCAAGGAGAGCACATGTAAGAGGAGGGGGGAAAGAGACGCGAGGTTCATTAAATTTCATAGACACAAGCCTTGAGCAAAATGCTGCCGTCGTGGCCTGTGAGCTGCCCTTTATAAGAATGTAAATGAAATATAGCCGCATCAGGTGTCCATTGTGGCCACCTTGCACGGGCCACAAGCGCCAAAATACTTCCGCAAAGGTTAACTTGGTGTGTCTGCCCTTACGACTCTTTCTGCCTCCTCTCTCATTGAGATGCATTTTAGGCATCGATAAATCCTTGAACACGGAGCTCTAAATTCAATTTCGGGGTCACATGTCAAAAGAACGAAGACTACGATGCACACAACCTGCAAATGAGAAGAGTATCACCTTGTTTTGCGGATAACGTTGGCTAGAGCTGCATTCCCCTCACGTGCTGCGGTGGATGCAATTGAAAGAGGTGTAACCTGCTTCGTTCGCTGTGCGTGTGTCCCTTCGTACTCCACCTGTTCCTCTGCCCCAACAACAAGCATGTTGGCAAAGGATCCAAATATGCAAAAAAAAAACACAAACAGGAACTCAAATGCACGCACACAAACACACGATTAGTGCAAAAACGTGCAGAAGCAAACACCTCCACATGCCCATACAGACGTTTGCGCACACACAATACAACAAACACCCCCCCCAGTTAGACACTCACTCACTCACAAAGTTTCCATTCCTGACCTCCAGCAGCTGCGACAACAGGAGGTTAGAGGAGTAGAATAAATGAACAACATCGGCAGACTGCAGATTAATGGAAGAAATCATCTGTAAATTAGGCATGGAGCTTATTTATTGGCTTATCCGTGCATAGAGAGAGAGAGATACAGAGAGAGAGAGAGAGATTTAAGTATGAAATACAACAGAGACACATTTTTGTGGAGTATTTTCTCACACATCAATATTTGTCCTTGTGCTTTGTGATACACATTTGATCAGAGTTTGAGCGGGATCAAGTATTAACTTTTCCTCTGTAACTTCATCAGGAACGTGAGATTGATGCCATGGTGGAAAGATCGAACCGAAGGAACCCATCATATTAAAGAGGACGCAGGAATCTGCACAGACGGCATGTCGAACATTTGGGAACACACACAAAATAATAAAGAAAGATTTTTAGAAAAAAAATGTATTTAACATGTAGAGCTGACTGAAATGGCCTTTGAAAATATGAATGGTGAACTGGTAAAGGCATTGTTCTATTGTGAGGTGAAGCACGGTACTTTAATTACCTAAAGTAATTTAGCCACGGAGCATTTTTGCAACAAGTTAAAAAAAAACACAATCAGTGCTAAGGTGTAACTTTGATGTCAGTGATTTAGAGAAGAACCTCCAGCCATTACACAGATATGTAAACTAAGACTGGAGGTGGAGTGGGCTGCTATTAAGGAGAGAAAGTGGAAAAGCACTGCTGTCAGGCTGAGAGATGTCACCTCCCTGAATATCAGTTCTCGAACAAAAAAGGTCAAATGGCACCTCAAAGTGGTCTATCAAAGTGAGCAATGCACTTTGGATGTTTGAAATGTTATTCATCCATCACGGAAAGAATTCTGAGCACTTCAGTGCTTCAAGAAATTTGGGAATCTGGGTATCCATCTGGGTAATGTGCTCCGAAGTGGGCAGGACGTGTTCGGCAAACCACGTTGAACGAGGGTTCCTATTCAAAAATAAAATGTAGTTCAACGAGCAGTAGATGGCCTTCATAGGCATCGTGTGTTAAAAGTAATAAAAATAAAAACTCTGAGAGAAGGTTGTAAAAAGCAAAAAAAGGAAAAATAGCTGTGATGTTTTATCTTTTGATTTGAAAAGGCAAAGAAGATCATCGTCAATGAATGACAAATAATTGCTTCAAGAACGTTGCAAATACTGGAATACACTGTTATTCATTTCTTAAGCAGAGGAATGAATGGAATCTGCTTGGGTCTACTGACGTAAACAGATTCTGAAATGTGGTTTCATTAAAGCACTGTTAGGCGAGTTCAAGCTCTATCAAAAGACAACCTGTCCCTGCCATCATGCATTTGTTTTAATTATTACTTGTGTGGCTGGATGCTGGATACTTTTTTACAAAAACAAAGCGAAGGATGAACTATGAATGCTGATGAAGAACGTTCTGTTTATTCATCAAGCGTCCCCTTGGAGTAAGACCGCAACGTAAAAGTGACACTAATTACTATTAATTAAAATTTCACACTGACTTACTTTTCTTGACAAAAGAAAAGAAAGAAAGCAGTTTTGAAAATGTGTTAAGAAGAAATTCCTCTTGTTCCAAACTCCAACTCCTGACGACAGCAGAATGTTTAGCTGAGCGCATTTGTTCATGCCCACTGACATGTTTATACGGCAACTGTTATTCAACGTTTGTCCTGCAAATGTCCAAAAAACTCACATTTTATTGTTTCAGTATATGTCAGGTACTCAGTATGACAGCCTATTTCTTTGTCTTGGCATGAGATGAATGTCCCCACACCAATATTATGTAAATGGATGGAAAATCTCATTAAAACTGTGGCAAAAATGTTGGAAACTAAAATAAACTATTTCTGTCCTCTTTGTAAAAAGATGTATCATCTCCCACTTAAGGTCTCTGCGACCTCCTCTAACTCCCGATGACTCAGTGATCCTACTTGTGCTGAACAAAAGGACTGACAAGCAAGAGGGCTGGAACTGGAGTAGAGCGGTGACTCAGCCAAATTCAACTTTTGATGTTAAGAACTGAAATATGTGAATATATTTGATATGTTTGCAAAGACCATTAAAAAAGTGTAACCGTTAAACCGTTGTGCTTGCTTTAGGAAATTCATCCTAATGTGAAACCCAACATCACATTGGCAGCACTTGATTTAGGTATGAAGTGCTGCAAATGTAGCCATTTGTCGGTATTGGTTTAATCTAGAGTTTTTATTAGTTGGCCTATTCTACTCACTGTGCAATGACAATAAAGTTGAATGTAATCTAATGTAATCATTATTTCCTCCTGACTTGGCTTGTGAAAATGAGCTATTAGCTTACCAATGGCCCGTGGCCGGCGATGGCCTTGATGAGGAATAGGCAGAACGCAAAGGGCCAGTCCATTAGCATAGCATGGATTGACTTGGCTAGACAAAGTTATAAAAAAATTGGACAATCCAACAATTTTATTTTCGCCCAAATGAAAATATTGTCAGTCAAAACATGAATGGATTAATGGCAGCAGGGAATAATTAATTATGGCGCAGATATCTTGTGTACAAAGTATAAAAATGGGTTAACAAGCCTTCATAGGGTGCATCCTCAGCCCCCAGCGACTGTGGCCAATCCACGGCCAATTATTTCCGCGGGTCCGTCTGGGACAGGTCCCGCTACAAAGGTCAACATCATCAGTGTCTTAAGTTGTTCATCTGCCAGTGTAGATTTTAATAAGGCGTTAAGCAGAGAGCGTGATATTATCAGCCAACGTCCTCTTCGACAGTTTCAAAGCGCCGCCTGAACGAAAACGGTAAAGGGCCGAGCTGATTATACGCAGTGTGAGCACATCGATCCAGTGGGACATGGTTCTCACATCATTGGCCTCCCGCTGATAAAGTGTACATGGCAGTTGAAGTCAATCTGTCGATTCCATATTAGGCAATATGCTCCACTTGCACTGATGAGTTCTCCTTAGGTTCCCTTCTGCAGCAGGTGCTTTTAAGTACGCGTTCTCCACGCAGGTTTGCACCAACTGCAGCTGGACAGTCATCTTGATTTCCCCCCACGTTCCTGCTATTGAGAATACATGGAGGGGAGTAGTGGAAAACTTTTGCCCTTCAAGCAGAAAGCTGAAAAAAGATTCACACAAAGTTGCAGCTTCTTACCGATCTTTATTAAATAATATCTGCCGTAGCTCTTCCTCTCCGTCAGCGCTGAGCACGGTTCGAGTTGCGTGGCTTTGCTCTTTTTTTCCGCTGCCCTTTTGAATCAGGTGATTTGAACCAATTGATTGGTTCTAATAAGCCCTCGCAAGATTGCGACGAAAAGTTGGAACCTGAGGAACTTTGCCTTCCATCAGAGTTCAGGAGTAATTGGCCGTTGACTGGCGGTTTTCAGCTCGAAGGCACCTTGCAGTGTGAAATATTCGGAAACATTCTGGCATAATGTAAGAGTTCAGCCTTCCAACCACAAAAACATCACTGCATAACTGGTTATTTCAAATGGGCCATGTACAGTATGTGGCCTATTTTTTCAGATTGGCAGATCACTCACCATTTAGTTTTTTTAGACAGAGAATATAGATTAGAAACAATTTACTCCATTCTTCTGATAAATCTGTCCTGTTTCACAAATCTGATTTAATAAAATAAAGTGCTGTTAACATTAACACGCTGGTGTTTCCTGATGTCAAACAACGCATTGTTATTACTACATCTTTGTTCACAGAGGAGCTTTTACAGTTACACTAATGCCGTGTCTTTATAATCATATGTGAAAAGAAAATGTGTTCTATCTAAATATTATCCCATGTGTCAGGCTTCACAGGTTAAGGCAAAGAAAAGACTGCTATATTAAAAGCTGTATAATATCATAAGGGACCACTTCAACTAGAAAGACAAGGACTTAAGTACCGAGAGACAAGATGAAGAGAGAACAAAGCAAAGGAACATGAAGGATTCAACTTTACCTTCCCAATGTTTCACAGCGGTGATGTTCTAAAGCACAAACAAACAGCCTCCCGCCTCTGTGCAACGCGGTTGGAGGTTGCAGGCGTCGCCCTGCTGTGGCCTGTCGGCGCCTCTCTATGTCTGCCTGTGACACACAACACCAACTCGCGCACCAACAGGAGAACATGAAACCCACAACGATGTAACAAACCGATACCTCGCTGCTGTGAGCGGAAGGCCAACGAGGACGCGCTGCTTGCTGGTTGCATCTCCTCGTAGGGACCAAACGCTTCGAGCTGAAACGCCCCGAACATAAACAAAATAAGAATTAGTGTCCACATACCAGTTATCGGCCTCTTTTTACCAAACGAGGCCTATTTAAAACCAAAAACGGCCACACGCCCCGACTGGGTCTCATGTCGTGATTCAGATGGATTTCTATTCTGTTATATTTGGCAAACCTTTTCAAACGCCACTTCATTGGTGCCATTAACAACAATAAACATCAATGAGACAAGTTGTGTGTGTCTGTGTGTGTGTGGGACAGCAAGGAAGCAGGAAGCTGGTGCTGTGTTGTTGTGTGTGTTTGTTGATTGGTGCATCGGTGTGTGAACATGCGCGCTTCAGTTTGGAAAGTTGTCTTTGACGCTCACGGTGGCATAAGCCAAAAAAGAACGCCATTCACTTGTGTTTCTTTATCACGCTAGCCGAGGGCATGGAGGCCGATTTAATGGATACATCGTTCTGTTATCTGGAGCCGTAACACACGCTTTTTTCCCCCATGTGGACTTAAGTTATTTCACATTTAAAAACATGTACAGTCGTACATTTAAGTAGTTTATCTGTACCCTCTGGATTTCTTCTAAAGTTGTGAAACTTTGTCAAGGTGATGGAGGCTGATATGAAAGTATTAGCGCGTGTGTGTGTGTGACAATGAGAGAAAAGGTGAGATACTTATAAAATCTTTTGAATATCAAGTCATATCACCATTCACAGATTAGAAACGAGGGTTCAGCTTATTCCCATGCACACACATAGTTACCAAATTCCTATTAAAGTGGATTTGGGGACGAGGGCACTGGAGATTAAAGAAGAGCACTTGCATTTGCATCTGCAGGTGGTGTCCTTGGCTCTCATTAAAGCTTACACGGCTCTCTCCGAAACGAAAAAAAAAAGTAGCCCATGAGCCCTTCAGACCCACACACTGTGTAATTGTGCTCAATGGCCCAAACAGACCCCTCTTTACACGGCCGCCTTACTTTGGAAATTGTTTATTTTTCCAACGACTTTTCTTGCGCAGAATTTCAAGGCACAAAAGCAGGAAGAGAGACGGCTGAGTCCGGGGGAGTCTGTCCCTCTGGGACGGAGGGGAGCAGATGCAGGCATGCCGAGCAATTCATAAGCTACCGAGGACGCCAGCGTGCTGAGGTGGACATGTCCCTCGGATGTCACTGCATGAGGGCGCCGGTTTAATCTCACATAGCAGATGTTTAGAGGAAGACAATCAAATTTGGCTTTTTGATTATGGCACCAACGAACACTCCACTCTGACGGTTTGATTTCACTTCAGTAAACGCTACTCTTGATTCAGAAGGCACTGTTTCTAGTCTGCAAGGAACCGGTCCAAGTGCAGCTTGAGCCTCACATCGCTACGAAAACCTTCACACAAAACAGCACCAGCGGGCTGAATGCCATGATTTAGATTGCTCAAGAAAGAAGACCTCCGTCCTACTTGCGCCTTCTTTCCCACACGAGTGCAAAAAGTAATCACACCTTGGCAAACTCGCAATGCACTCGTTCCAAAACACTCGTCCACCCCGTGGTGTTCAGTGCCAGCATGCATCGTGATTGGATTCGAGAAAACAAACAACCCGAATTCAGTTCGAGGGTTTGAGTTTGTTAGAGCTTTGTTGTCCCTCTCTGACGCCTCATCCGTGTCCACCGATGGTCGCCTTTGTTTTCCCGTGATCAAAAGGCCTCTCTCTCTCTCTCTCTCTCTCTCTCTCTCTCTCTCTCTCTGTCTCTGTCTCAGCATCTTCTGCCAGGCGGATGAAATCTCCAAAATAAAAGTTTTGTGTATAAGAGTTGAGTCCCCTCAAGACAAGAGTCAATCAAAGCCGCATAAATTATAACACTAATTAACATTTCACTATAAATACAGCGGGCGCTGGATCAAATGCTCAAGCTTTCAGCGATGCCACTTGCTTAAGGCGTTACAAGTTACACAAATCTGCGCATTCATTGAGTCCCAAGACCCAGTGGTATTGTTATAAAGTCTGGTAAGATTTTTGGAACCGAGACAGCGAATCAGAGAGGGGATTTTGGAGAATTTGACACATTTAGCATCACTTGTTTACTCAACTTCTCCATAGTGACCTGTTAGAGCTTCAGTAAACAGTGTCAGTGTTTTGGCCTGGAGCAACGAATCAGCAGAGAAAAGAAGTGCCTACTCAGTGCGTTGACATATATATATATATATATATATATATATATATATATATATATATATATATATATATTATTAATTTGCTCACAATTCAATAAAAGGAAACACATGAAAAAAAAACATGTTATTTATTTAATGAAAGATTCTAGTTTACCTTTTATATCAGAAGAAGGCTTTGCACCTTGACCATTACTCCATTAAAACAAAAGTTATCTCTTATCTACATCAGATTAAGTCTCCATCACGTTACATATTTTCCCTAAAAGGTTATGAATAAGTAGCTCATTCTTTTAACCTGCACCATTTGTTGCAGAGTGTTTTCCTGTCTTTATGTCTATGGCTTGTTTGTTGGATATTATGTTGGTTTTTTGTTCAGAATTTATGCATTGATGTGTGTGTCTCTCTCCGTCTCTTTTATTTGTAGTGGCTGCTCCAAGTTCCCTTAGAAAGAATAATAAAGTGAAGTCATTTGATGTGAAGTTGTTTGCTCACATTTAAGTCATTATTTTAAGATGAAATCACTTGTGACGACGGTAGCTTTGTAGTGTATATCTGATGCTTTAATAAGCCATGACACTGCACATTAGTTATTCCTGCCCACACTTTCACTAACCCAGATATTCTCTTTGTTCAGTTGTATGGATCCGGGGTAAATGAGGAGTGGGAGTCATCAAATGGTTTCGACCTATTAAATGATAAGCAGGCCATCTGCTGA